CCCCTACATTTTTTTATTGACTTCCTTTCTTATCTCAAATTTCTAGTTTCCTAGTGGTGTCTCCTGGGATTACCTCCCACATAGAAACTACTTGCACTTGAATCTGTATCTTAGGGTCTGATTCTGGTGAAACCAAATTAAGATAGTTGCTAATGGAAAACCAGGCACTGTTTTCACAGTAAGGAGGGTAGGCACTGGTTAGGCAGAAACAATGTCCTTTTCTTTTGGTTAAAAGATTTGGGCTTTTCCATTTTCTTGCCTGGTGTTTGTTTGCCTCTTCCTAGGATAGGTAATGAGCCCCTTGAAGGGAAGGACACAGCTTGTTTACTGATATTGTGCTGAGCTACTGAGATCTGGGGTTGCTCCCCTATTATGGACAACTCATTCCAACCCAGGGAGGGTGAGACCGGAGCCAGAGTCCTGGCTGCAGTTTGCTTTCCAAGAGGGAAGAGGTCACAGATACTGGGAAATTGGAAGAGAGCTGATTTTTCAGGGGGAATTTTAGCCCTTTCTAAGGATGAAGGTTCAAGGGGACAGGATATCCTAGTTAGAAAGAGGTCAGGCCTGGGATTTGGTTGGAGTCTGTCTTCACAGAAATGGTTACTGAAGCCACAGGTGTGATGGCCTAGTTGAGGAAGAGCTTGAGAAGAGAGAGCGGTGTGGGGTCTGGGCCTGCCTCTTGCTCACTTTCCAGAGTGAGGAGATGGGAGGAGGAGGTGGTGAACGTGGGTCTGAACTGAGGGAGGAGAGGCCCATGGTGGGGACCCAGGCCATGAATCAGGGGGGACCTCCATCTGGAGCTCTGGGCCTGAGTGTGGGGTGCGTGTTCTCCGGGGGAGACTGGGGAACTGCTCCTGAGAACAGCATGGGTAGGACCAGGTGGCAGTAACAGCAGCTGTGCATGAGAGCTGCTGCTTTTCCAGAGGGATGAGTGTCTCCTCCAGTTTCTCCAAAAATATATTTTCCTGCTTCTCCAGGATAGAAACATCCCATTAATGATCTCCGCATCTCAGCTCCTGTGTAAGGGCTCGAAAATCTTGTCGCTATAGCCGTCTTGGCACCAGAGAGGTTAAAAGGTCAAGACTATAGTATACAAAGAGATAAGGGGTGGGACCTGGGGTCTGTCACAAACATCGTGGAGTCCTAGGCTCTGTGCTAAGTGTTTTCTTGGATAATCCCGTTTTATTACCCGCCTAGCCATCACCAGTCTCCATACGGCAGAGGAAAAAGCTGTGGTCCACAGAGGTTAAAGAATTTTCTCACTCAGTGGTGCACGCCGAGAAGTGCCGTGTCAGAAGCTTGATCTGAATGGTTTGGCTTCCAGGCTTCTAAGGACTGACCACTTGGGGGAAACTGAGGCAGTACCTGGGAGACACTGGCTTTTAGAAGAGAGACACTTAGTGGACTGTTGTGTTGGTTTGAGGCTCTGGCAATAGTTTTTAATGGGCAGCTGTTCAGGACAATGAGTAACCCCTTCAGGCAGGTGAGGGAAATGTTCCAGGAACTTCATTCAAATCGTACCAAACTTTTAAGGTAGAGAGATGGATAATGAACAGCTCATTTTACCCTTTCCTCCCTGTACTGGTCAGTTATCTTGTTGCTGGGACAAAATACTGGACACCCACAATTTATTTAGTTTTTTTCTTTTCTGAGACAGGGCCTTGTTATGTAGTTCAGGCTGGCCTTGAACTTCTGGTGATCTTTCTGCCTCAGCCTCCTGAGGGGTGAGATGATAGGCGTGCCCCACCATGCCTGGCTTCCAACCCCGCAATTTATTTATTTATTTATTTATTTTTTTGGTTTTTCTCCGGTACCGGGAACCGAACTCACGACCTTACGCTTGCCAGGCAGGCGCTTTGCCGCTGAGCTAAATCCCCAGCCCCCAACCCCGCAATT